GTCCCCGCCTCGGGGGGCCGCCAACCAAGGCCGCGCCGCGGGCTGAGGGTGCTGGTGGGGAGCGGCGTTCCCCTCAGTGCTCCCGTTTCTCTCAGGGGATGCGGCTTTGCTGCCCTCAGCCGCTGGCGATGCTGTTTGAATACCTCCGTGTGTGGTGTCGTGCAAACCACCGGGTGTGCTCCGCACACAATGGTGGACCTAGAAATGGAAGGCAGAAGGGCTGTTTTGGCAGCTTGCTGCGGTGTCTCCAGGCTGTTTACTCAAGCAAAGTATCACCTCCAATGCTGTGTCTGACGTAGGACATGGTAATTTCACAGCTTGAAGAGGCTGGAAGAACTGGAAGTTAAAACTGCATTTTTCACTAGTACTTAGGAAAGAAAAAAACCCCAGAGCATGCACTGAAATCATTGAGATAATGCCTCAATTTCTGAAACCAGAATGGTTTGAAGAAGCTAAAAGGGGTTATGCTCAAGCAGCATAAATTTAACCACCAAAAATATGCTGAGGATAGCTGGGAATGAAGCCTTTTATCTGTCTTTTCCCAGTGTCTCCCGACGAGCAGGATAAAGACTCGGCCTTCCCGAGGTGTGGAAGTGCACAAAGACCTTTGTGGTCCTTGATCCGCAGCGGAGGTTGAGCAGCGCTGGCACCTCTTGGACGCAGCATCGGGTACCCTTTTATTTACTCTATTGTTTTGTGCCCACTGAAGCAGGTTCCTGATGCGCGACTGAGGGCACACACCTAAAGCACCATTTAAAGCATGTGTTTTTTAAATAGCTTATTGTTTCCTGACTCGTTTTAACACAGGATTTCGGTTGGTGAATAAGAGCTTCAGGGTGTGTAAAATGAACACAAGCGTATGGGTTTCTTACAAGTAAGTCTAAAAATATAATGGAATCATTTTTATATCGCTGTTTGCCAACCCACAAAATCAATGGTCTGTTTCCAGGGGATATTTTGGGCCTCAGCTCTTTGCGTCATCTCAGGATTACCGAATCAAAACTTCATCAGAGTAAAACAAAAGGTGTGTCTGGACTAAGGTCAAAATCAGACGTCAAGAAAATGTTAAATGTAGCCAAAATATGATCAGAAAATGCTGGTTTTGTTAAAATTGGGAGTCATTATACGTATTTACCTCTGAATTCTGTGTAAATACATGGTACTATTACAAAGGCAGTTCTGGTAGGCACCCAGAAGGTCCCAGCAGTATGCAGAGTCACCATATATTTGAGTCAATATACTAAAGCTCATTGTGCAATGGAAAATCACCTCTGCTCTTCATTATCTTGACCATAAAAAGTCTATTTTTCAGCAACTGAGGCTTAGTTTCCTGTAGGAGCTGTGCACAATAAATGAGATTTGCATCAATTTAGATGCACTTTCCTGTGAGCCTCATGTTCAGCAGCTACTCAAGTTGTAGACACCCCGACAATTCATATGAACCAGGCCACTTTAAGCATGCTTATTTGGCAGAAGTTGATACACTTGCTGAATTACAACCTGTTGTCTGAATACCTTAAATGTTTTTGAGTGCACTTGTTACAGATGGCATGCAAATATTTGGAAATTGGTCAGGGATTTGGCAATCACAAGGAATAAACACTCGAATGCAGGGAAATACAGCATCATTTGCTGATGCAATCTGCTTGGCCCTTGCACCCTCAACTTCTACCACTGCTGCACTGAAAACAGCTGTTGGAAAGAGGAGGAAAGGAGAGGCAATAGGTTTCTGCATGAGCCCTGTGTGGCAGTAGAAGACAGATAGACCAGCCTGAGGTTAAGCAGCAGGAGGGGATGGCCGTCAGGGCAGTATGGAACCTCTTCCTTCTGATTTATCTCAGGTAATCTCATTAAAAGGCCCTCTCGAGTTGCAGCTTTGCTGCAGTCAAGTTGCATGAACACTGGAGCAAAGCTGGCAGCAGCACTTTTACCTAGGAAAGTTGAATAGGAACCCACTGGTGTGGAGCTAGAAGTGTGCTTTGGTGTGCACCCCAAATTAAACTGGTTTTACATACAGCATTGCCACCAAGATTCTTTTCTGAGAGGCCACTGTCCCCTTGCAGGGGGATTACAACGGCAAAAGTAGGTGTAATGCAGGTTCGTGTTACAAATGTTCTCCCACATGGGATATAGGCATTCTGGTCCTCATCTTCAGTGCTTCCTCCCTCAAAAGTACACTGCCCATCTTAGCTTTTCATTGAACTAGTTTTCTCCCTCCCTCCGAGAAGTCATCCTGACCCATTAGTACACTCCTATTTGAGATTCACATTGGCACCAATTTGTATAACTTACTGTATGTTTTCACTGACAATTCTAAGAATGATTAAACTGCTTTTTATCTTTCCAAACTGACACACAGCACCCAAAGAACCCCCAAACTCTTTCCAGATTCACCTGTGTAGATAGAAGTGACACTAACAGCTACGAAATCCCATCTTAACATTCTTCACGAGTCCTCTTTCGCAGTGAGAATATACTTTTTCCCCCCACCCCCTTGACTCATTTGATTACAGAAAGTCACCCTGTTTTTACTGGTGATTTTACTTAACCATAAAACCTCTAGTTTCCTGCTTCCTTACTGGTTGATGAGTTATTTTAGTTACCTTGCTTTGTGTGACATTTGTGTTGGTTTCATACGAGTATGGCCAATCCAAAATCCATACCCACTGCTCTATTTGTAATGCACGTAGCCCAGTAACAGCTGATTGACACAAGGTCAGAGTTTTGACTATACTTTTATTTACTTCACGTACTATGAACATATACATTACATGCTACAAAAAAATAAAAAAAGACTTTTAACTGTCAAGAAAGTGGATAGTGTTATAATACAATGGCACATGTTCATCTTTTTCTTCAAACTGGTTTGGTTAGAATCCTTCTCCAAAACCATTAACAAAAATGAAGTGTTTTAAGATGATTAGAAATATTTGCATTATTAACAAATACAATTCAAACAGATTAACAAGATTTAACCAGGGCAAATATTAGTAAAAAGGCTGGGGTTTACCAAAATGAAAGAGATTAAAAAAACCATAGCAGCCAGTTGTACTTTTTAGTGTGATATAATGTGTAAATGCACCAAGAGAACACAGTGTAATTGAGCATTCTGCTTTCACGGTGTATTTCTAGAAATGATTATTCTAGTTCTAACACCTGCCTATGCACAAGAGACCAAAACCACAGCCAAGGAGAGACAAAAAGATTGTGACCAATATTCTTAGCAATGATTCTTTTTTGCACGCATCCAGGAGGAGGGAGGGAACAAACAGAAGAGGATAAACAAAGGCCACAAAAGGATTTCACCTACATGTTCATGAACATAAGTTCTACCTATTTTCCTTTTAAGAGCTTTGAGAAGCTGAAATGCCTATCTCGTCCGAATGCAAACATACTCATTTCTATCACCTATGAAACAAAATCACATTTTGGCTTAGAACTGAATAGTGGAAAACAGTTGCATTAACGTATCAGTTGCCTAAGAAAAGCTGCTTGACAGGAACTTAGGATTCTAGTGCAACAGCAGCTATTAAGACTCCTCTAGTTGCTTTTATTTGCTCTTTCCAAGTGTACAAATATACACTTATATTTATACAGTCTTGACAAAAACACACCTACAAAGTTTGCACGGTATTTGCTACTTAATTCAGTTTGTGTCTTTTGTATTAAAAAGGCAAGATTTGCATAATAAAACCAGGTGAAAAATGTTCTTTTGGTATCTTAAAACAATTGTGATTGGAAAGGTACAAACATCTGGGCTTTCATCAGCTGCAACTGGAAAAAGTACTTCAGAACAAACAGTGTTACTGTAAGAGCACACAGTTCATTATGTTTCTTTTGCAATAAAAGCCTACATGGGCCACTGGTAAACTCGGGATTAAGTTTGTTATTTAAAATGCAGCTACTGAAAAAACAAGAGTCATAAGTAAATATCAAGTCAGAGGAAAAATACAAATTAGCCTTAAGGAAACCAATGTGTTACAGCACCTATAGTTTCTCAATTCTTTTCCTCACAGTAAATCTTGTCCTAAGCTAGAAGAGATCCCGCAATCACTGGCAGATCACTCTAACCAGAAGAGCACCCCAAGCTAGACCAGTAGTACTGCAATTCTCTGTTACTGTTCTGTCACCACTGTCAGTTTTCTCATCCTCTTCAGTAGTGCTTATGAGATTGGTGATGGAAAAGCACGATGAACATTGGTGTCAGGCTACAGATTAATGAGTGCCCATTACCTGAAAATTAGTCAGGCTTGCTGATGGATTAGTTTTGAAGTAAAACGACTAGTACTTAAATAGAACAGAAATATTATGATTTCCAGCATGTTACAGTTCTGAGGTAAAGTGTTACCAGGATTCTGTTGTCCGGGTCAGTGCCTTGCAGCAATAGCCTCTGCCATGTGAACCAGCCCTCGCAGCATTTACAACCAATGAGCTGTTCTAGCACATGGCTTCCATCAACCCAAAGAACATTTTCAGTTTGCTACTATTCAGAAAAACAACTGTTGTGTATGGATTACACTGTAGGCAAAGTTACAAAATCTGTTTGCTTACGTTTGGTCACTAGAGTGCTGTGCTTGGAAAACAATCCAGGGTACAGGCAAAGGGGAGTTACTTCAGTGTTTCATTTCAGTTTACAAAACTTACTGAATCCATTCTGATTTATGTTAGAGAAAACCAGATAATTAGAAGAACAGACTAAAAACCAAAACCAAGCAGTGCATATCACCACCTATTCAATGCACTGATTCTCATTACGAGCTAGAAAGCCATATTTACTCTATTCTGCCTTTTGAGAATCAATCCAGAAGCACACAAATACTTTCCATTAGTTTATTAAAAATAAAAATCCTCGGGAAATCACTATCAAATACGTTACAGATGGGAATTAAACCAGAAGAGTCCCCAGAGTAACTTTAAAATAAAAAGTACTATTTGCTTTGTCAGTTCACCATGTTTGACACTGATTTGTACTGTAAGAGTATTGTACAAGAGGAGTTATTGCAGACCTCTAGAAAAATTGAACTGGCCCTATATAATTTAATCTTACTGGAAAGCAGCGTCAATGTTTTAGTATATTTAGTGACTCAAACACTGCTTTAAAGCTAGGCATTAAAGTGCTACGCACGTATGGTTCAGCACTGATATGGATGTTTACACTTCCATAAGCTTTATATTTGTGGATAAAAAGAGATATTGGTGTGTTAATAGAAAATTTTCATTTAAAATCAGCTGCTATGTTTGAAGCATCAATAATACTGAAGGGATCAATCTAGTGTCCACAAACTTCTAGAATTCCAAGGTTGATTTGATCTGTCATTTACCATTAAAATGGTGAGCATCAATAAATCATAAGGCTGTCCCCAGCGGGCTCTATGTGGATCTGTACTGCGCACAGTTAACTGACCACGCAAAGTACTCCACAGCCTTTCCAGGACAGAGGATTCAGGATGGAAAAAACAACAATATGGAGAAAGCTCCAGGATAAGTTTGTGACGTTTCTATCTCTATATTGAATTGTCTATGGTTGATGTCATTGCCTGAGGAAGAAGCAACATAAGCAATAGGACCGGAGAGAGCTATAAATGTTACCTTAACATCTACATTACTGCCTTCTCCAACTGCTGCTGCTGGCAAGGTCCAGTCTGCTGTGCACATGGACAGAAGCAGGCATTACAACCTATAATCATGTACTAGTTCTGCCACTTGACACACGAGTTATCTACTGTCGTACCCTGAATTACATGACCCTTGATTAAGGAATGGTGGTGTTCAGTCCCAGGGGTTTGCAGGTTATCAGAATGCTTAGACAAGCGATACCGCTTTCAACATCTGTCGGAACATAGTCTTGATGGCATCTGCAATAAAAACGAGTTGAGATTGTTCCCATCTGGAAGCGCAACTGTTGAGCCACACTCAGCTGAAGTCCTCGTCGGGATTCTGTTGATCCAGCAAGCGGACATGTGTGAATGGAAAGTGGCCACGTCTGCCATTACACTCTCCTTCCCACTGACCACTCACGTTAATCTTTGTGACCTTTACCAGCTCACCGACCTGCAGGGTAGGAAATAAGGACGTGTTACAAGTGTAAAAGTCAAGTGGACCAGATAAACGTCTATAAAAAGTAGTTTTAGTCTTGAGCATTTTTCATACACCAGCCTACCACCTGATGTTATTCACCCCTGAAGAAAGCACAGAGAGGAAGAAGTGTACCTACATTAGGTGAGAGCTACCCAAACCGAAGAGCCTGTGATCCAGTGCCAACCTGCCAGAGCACCATCACAATAAATGCATGGCACTGAATGGACAGAGGTTTGCCCTCTGCTTGTGCTTCATTCACCACCTCATGAAGGGAGGGAAGACTTGCAGAGGTAATCTGCAAGCTAAACAGCTCCTTAATTTGCAAATTCCACTAAATGCTTTTCAGGTTGTATTGGAAAAGTTCTGGATAAGTGGGAGATAGAACAGAGAGAGAGAGAGAGAGAGAGAGTGAGAGGAAGAGATAATCCAGCCACAGATTATTACTATACCATGGGTATAGTAAAGACAATTAATGCCCTTTCCCTCTTATACCTGAACTCTTTGGCTAGAAAAATGAAAGTATGGTTACTACGGACCAATGAAACAATATGCTCTAGTTTAAAAGTGTCCAGTTCTCATGTACCACACTAAATAAAAGCACAGCAATGCCTCTCCTATTCTAATCTCCAACCTAATATTCACATAACCAGTTCTAAAGGTATTGTCTCCCTCTGACAAAGGTAGGGAACTGCACGGCAGTCCCTTTCCCAAGGCTGTACAGTCAGGTAGTTCAGGTCAGGGCTGCAAGTCTAGGTCTAATCAGTCCCTAAAACTGTTAAAGGGTACTTTAATTAAGGAGCACTTGCACATCCTAAGACAGCACAATTTACATTGTAAAGACTGCCACTGGAGAGGTGTTAAGTGCAACACCCATTTCTACGCCTCTGTAGAATTCTATGAATAATCCTAGTTACAAGTAACATACAGCAGTGTTCAGAACTCTTCCCAGGTCACAGCAGAAGAATGTTTTTGGGACAGATACACTCTATTTTCTTTCATTAATACTGTAAATAAACTCTCCAGGCACAGCCACAAGTGTTACCACATTTCATCCAGAAATTCACTGAATATAGAATTACTAGTTTACACAGATGCTCATCGCTGCATTCCAAATTCATCCAGAAGAGAATCTCATTATTCTCACTTTCCAGGCAGCGAGTGAAGAACAAGGAAAACAATTTATTACAAATATCCATTCATTTTAAACGTTTTAATCACTTGCAATCTTTTGCCAGAACAGCTTTTAACAGTTCATAAATTCAAATCAAACCACTCCATGGACATTTAACTCAGCTTCCCATACCTCGGATGGTTACTTCTCTGGTAAAGAGAGGCACATTTGGGACTCCAGTTTTCCCTTTTGTAGCCATGAGTAGCGACATTTTAATGAATCATATTTTGAAGACAATCCTCTTATTTATTTGCTACAGGCAAAAGGAAGCCTTCCTGGACTGCTGAATGCCTGTTTCAGCTCTTTAGGAATTGAATCAAGCAGGATGGGTAATTTCGCTACTGCAAATAAGTCACCGGGGGGTTGTACCAATCAAAACCTCAGTTGACCAAACCAATACATCAGCTATAATTTAACAAGGGGAAGATTAATTGTCACAACACTAGAAGCAGAAAATCTTATTTCCTAATCACAAGCATCACCAGAACACTATCCTAGATAACTGTGAATTGCTTCAGACCTGGATACAGTTTATGTGTCAGCCTTCAACAGAAAAGTATATAACCTCCAACCCACTAGGAAGGAAAGAGCAGGAGTTTTAAAGCATTTAGACTAGATGTTCTCTCTGAGCTCACTTTTTACATTGACTTATGGTATCATTAGTCTATTGCACATCATCCCACCAAGCACAGCACCTCAGGAATAAGATTCCCCCTGCTAAAAGGCCAGATTTGTCTCAGTCTTCATTTGAAGCTTTAAAACTAAACACATCCCATATGCTTCAAAGCGAAACTGAAGGTTCATGTGAAGACTTCTGAATGCTGTGGTTCTATTCCAAGTACTCCTCTGGAAAGGTCAAGATGACAGAGTTCTGCTACTGTTACAAAGAAAAACAATAAATGGATTGATCTCATTTCCTCCTATCTTTTAATTAACATAGACTGACAACTCCGTGAACAGTCCAGATACAAGCAAAGTAACTTATCACATAACACAGCACAGCCCTTATTAGAACATCTGATTCTCCTTCCTTAAGCTCTTCAAAACCAAGTCAGTTTAAAAATAAGAGGACAGATATTCTGTTTACAGTTTGGACCAAAAACGTTTGATATTAAGAATCTATTTTCCTAAGAGCAACAGCGTGATCCACCCCCACCCATGAATAGTGCCAGACTCGAGGATAAGAGTTTTAATTTGGAAAGAATCCTGCTTTCTATCTCTATAGTTATTAAAGAGATCTGGGCAAAAATGGACTTATAAGAGTCACATAATGCTTTCTACTAAGCTATCTAAGAAGAGATCTCTAAACAGAGAAGGAACACAATGAGGTGAAAGGAAATGGGAAAAAAAGAGACAACAAGAAACAGTACTTTGATAGACAAGATGAAGAGAAACTTGCAGAGAGTGACATGCATACTGCTGGTTTTTCCTTTACAGACATTGAAAGCAACCTGGTAACATTGTGATTTGAAATGCTAAAAGCTGAAAAGAAGCTGGGAATGCCTATGAGAAGCAGTGGCAAACGGCTCACACTTTATATAATGCAATATTATGTACAGAATAAAGAACCACCACTGTTACTACTGCTCTTAAATCTAGAGCTGTAGCAAGACAGGAATGCATCATTCTAACCAAGAGGTTCAGCATGTCAACTGGTAAGCATTTAAGTAAGTCTACAAGAGCTACAAAGGCCCCCAGTCTAATATAAAGGTAGAGAAATAACAATAGTAGTAGTAGTAACAGTAATACTAGAGAAAGGAATAAACAAGTGATGCACAGCACAGTTGCTCACCACTCGCTGACTAATGCCCAGCCCATCACTGAGCCTCAGTTGGCCCCTTCCAGCCAACTCCCCCCAGTTTCTACACTGAGTCAGACATTCCATAGTATGGAATATCCCTCTGGCTAGTTCAGGTCAGGTGTTCTGTCTCTGCTCCTCACTGGCAGGGCATAAGAAGAAACTGAGAAGTCCTCAATGAGGATAAGCTCTGCTGAGCAACAACTAAAACCACTGGTATGTTATCAACATTATTCTCAGACTAAAGCCAAAACACAGCACTGCATAGGTTACTAGGAAGAAAATTAACTCTACGCCAGCCAAAACCAGGATGCTAAAGCACAGCATACTTGACATCATGTGGTTTGTAGTGGAGAGGATTGAACTAACATAAGGTCAGGCACTCACAAGCTGTTCTTCAGGGTGTAAAGGATTTTGCTTTCACTCAGAGTTGCTCACAATGGCCCGGATTATCAGTGTTTTCTCGCTCTATCCCACTCCATGCTACCAAACTGGGAGTTGGGCAGTGTTGTGGGGATCCACTTTAACTTAAGCTTAAGAGAACACTGCTAGTACACTACTAAATAAAAGCTTAAAAACAAAAACCAGAAAGAAACCCAAAAGGTTTAAATAAATATGCGGCTCAAAGAAAATCTACTATTTGGTAATTGCAACAATCCACAATTCAGGAGTATTTCCAAGCTCCAGGAGGTGACTGGATGGAGAGAGTGAGAACAAGGGAAAAAGATGGTGGTTTAGGCTGTACAAAGCCTGAAGGTTAAAAATCTTCACGCTTCCCCAAAACCTGCTGAGTTGGCATAAATTTCTAGACATGTTTCTCAACCCAAAAACTTACACTCTGTATCCTGTCAATCTCAATTCAGAAATATAATAGTACCTCAGAGTATATTTATATTGCTTCCCTAGACAAATTTTATCAACAATGGGGGTATTTCCCATCTCCCAGATCGTACATCATTAGGTCTGTAGAATGTGCTGCCTGTGCCAATTCTGTACTAAAGACACGGACCTCCAGTTGCCACATCGCTGAAGTGCCTTCTGTGCTCCACACAATTAAATGAAGCATTTGAGAGTGACGAGGAGATGCTCTGACTCAGCACAGAAACTGTTTTTTCCCAAGTACTTAAAATGTTATATAAACAGGAAGTCAATTAGGTATCAGGAAATTCCAGAGCCTTTAGCTCAAAAGAAAACCCAGATTAAAGGAATCCATTTACATATCATCCCAAGGCAAAGGTCTGCCACTGAGAATACCTTAAGTCTCAATTTCCTCAACTATAAGTTGGGGGGTAACTATCTGATATGCAGAGATAGAGCACTCTAGTCACCTTTTCAGAGGAAAGTAACAAAAAGGGACATGGTCGAGTACTTGATTATATCAGGAAGTGAATCAAGCTTAGGGAAACTCACTGCTTTATTACAAATCATACTCCATCAATCACTGCTTTACAGGAGATCTCCCTAATGAACTAGGTGTTCCTGCTTCACCAACTAGAAACCAATGTGTGATCATCATCCTCTCAGTCTGTGTGATGTTCAAGTGACTCTCAATGCTTCCAGTGATTGCTTTTAAACTGCTGACAGATTAGGGAAAAAAAGAAGCTAAGAAACAACCCAGCACATCTTTAAAAGCTTGTGGTGAGGCAAGAAACAGTGAACACAGGTTCAGACACACAACTTATGAACTGCTCCCTCTCCCTCCCCCCTGAAATAGACTACAGAAGTGAAAACATGGATGGGGAAACACTTATGTTAGTGATGTTTGACAAAAGACACAATATTGGTTCAGTAACCTAAACATGCTACAATAATCAAACTCTAGTCTACAAGTGACTCTAGTCACTTATTCATTGAAAAATTCATCCGTAACTTATTAAGCATGACGTAAAACCAGTATTACAATGCTTTTCCCTTTCTTATTCCTACAAAACTAGAACGTGATCGAAAGGGAAATCCCTTGAACAGATCTCTTCTTTCTAAGTTTTGCCCATTATGTACCTCCAAAGCCAAGGCTGTCTTGTCGTAGGCATTAGGGACTCGCTTCTGGATAACCCGGGCATAAATAGGGCCATTCTGAAGGTTAGGGAGCGGAGCGTTGATGCAGGGCTGGGCATAGGGCCCTGGCTCCGGCCCACCCAGTGGTTGTGGGTGGGAACTATCCTGGTTACCTCCAATCGGAGCAGATAGTGAAGCAGAGGAAGGTCTATACTTCTCGACGTAAGGAACAGGTATCATTCCCCTCTTCCCTTCGCTGTCTTCTGCATTCCACCATTGCTCTTCAGGTTTATCCCGGATTTTCAGTATGTCTCCTTTCTTAAATGGAAGATCTTCTTCATCATTTCCATTAAAGTCAAAGAGAGCTCGCACATATTCAGCTTCCTCCTGCCTGAGGATAACACCACTATTCTGCCTGGATCGGGAAACTGGTTCTATCAAGGTTGTAGTGTCCAAATAGTGTATTTTGTAGAATTCCAGTAAAGATGGCAAAGAATCAAACTCTTGGTCACCTATTCGAAATCGGCTGGGGTTCAACCCTGAAAGAAGAAGGTAACATGTCAAAGAGAGCACACAACAGTTAAAACCAAGTAAAACATTTGGGAAAACAAATATATTTACAGATATGTAATTTGATATTGAATTTGATCATCTTTAGATCAACATTTATCCTATTCAGCTCTTTCTAACCAAAGACAGCACTACCATGATCGTGAGGAGAGAGTTTTATTTGGAAAGATTTTGTTAAAGAAGGAAAAAAAAATTGTTTGGCACTGTCAAACTTCCCAAATGAGGCTAAAAATATCCCGTTTCCTTGCAGGTTATATGGACCCAACAGATAAGCGTTCAGTACATCTGAGTTTCTCAGAAGCCTGTACATTCAGAAACAGACAATTCCCTTTTTCCTGTTTTATACTATAAATCCAGGAAGCAAATGGAATTTTGGGGCTATTTCAAGGAAGGTGGGTTTTTAAAAGTTATTTCAACAGGACACATTGCAGTAATGGTTATTTACCTGTTGTGATGGATCTTGGCTTAAAGGCATCAACACCACAGAAAACTGCTTAGCACAGCAGTGAACAACTTACGTGACTGAGCAAATGAGCTGCTATTTGATAAAAGGTACCATTAAAGAACATTAGGTCTATTTGATGCAATGCAAAACAACAATGTACGTTTTCATTACAGGTATAATTTAGTCTTTTAATCTCAAGTCTTGTAGTTTCTTTGTCAGACAGAGCCTAAGCTATAAACCTCAATCTCAAATACATTAAAATCCAGATGATGTTCACATTCAAGTCACTAGAAGTATCAAAGTGCAGATATCCATTAGTTTTCAATCTGTGTGCTGCACTTTTTCCCCTGGTTTATGTTCTTCAGGCTCAGCTGGGGAAAAACCATACACGTGATGTTCTATTTCCACAAGCCCCATACACTGTAATCAGTTATGGGAAGGATTGTGGAGGCTGGGGGAGGGTAGTGGAGAGGAAAAAGATTGATGCTTTAATGAGTAACTCTTAGCAAGAAAGAGATGCTTACTTTGCAAGTCTGGTTCTCTGCAGGGAATATGTAACAGTTCTGAGACTGAGCTCTCGAGTACAAAGCTAGCAGAATTCTTCAAGCTGTCACTGATCCAAACCCCCCTTCAAAGTAGCACTGTCAGCATGGAAAGCTAACAGTGCATGGGACTAAAAACAGGGTCTAATAGAGAAAGGGGCAGATTCAGTAAGCTCAACATAGACATACACCCGATAAATCAGTTTTGAAGTATCCTGAAGGGACAGGCACATCCGTGAAGCTGGTTACAGGGAATTCAAAGCAGCAGAACCAAGTCATTGGAAAATGCCCATTTGCATGCATTAACTGCCCTGAAAGGCTTGCAAAAGGAATGAGCACAAATGCAATGAGCCAAAACCCAGAAGCAATACCCTCAAAAAACACAAACTGGCATCACGAGAGACCAGAAAGGTAACTATCAGTAAGAAATATGAACCCAGCATGGAAAGAGAAGTAAGATTCCACATTACTCTCCCAAAGTGATGCTGAAAAGATGCAAATCCCCCTCAAGTTTTGTTGATGGGATTTAACTTACAGCTCCAGACTTAGCAAGACCTTTGGAATTTCACCTCAGAGGCAGTTCTTAGCTCTGTGATCTCACAGGAGATGATTTCTGGCTGGACAGGCAGCATCCCTACACCTCTTCACAACAGCTTATGTGCACTACATAAGGATATAACATCTGGGAATGTTGCGCTTCCGCTAGCATCGGAAGCAGGAAGCTGTGCTTTGTAACAAGTGGTATAGATATCCACTTTCAGACAAACCTGGTGACAGCAACTCGAGCATACATCTGCTGCTATTTTAGATGAGAACCTTTAAGGACCAAGGCTTGTGTAGACACTTATGTCAAAAGAAGTCGAGGAAACTTTAGGAGGACCGTAAGGCCTGAAGTCATAAGGAGAAGGCTGAATCTCAGGTAAGTTCACGGACACAGAACTTACATGTGACAAATCTATAGCCTGAAACACTAATTCACCTCTGTAAAACCTGCTACAAACTGACTCAGGAGGCTGAGATCTCAGTCTCCAGCAAAGTACACACAGAAATCTCTTTAAAACTCACAGGAAATGAGCAATTCAGTAACATTCATTAGCCTTGTCAGCACCAAAGTCATCACCAGGATGAACAAGTGTTTTGGGGATGCCTTCCCCCCCCTCCGCCCTTTCTCTTTTGAACAGGTTCATCCTCTCGAATTAAAGCATAACAGCCTGAAATAGCTGCCAAATGTACCTGAATAAATCTGGACTCTAAGAGGAGAATCCACTGGAACTTCATGTGTGGGGAAGGAGTGACTGAGATCAGTGTACTGTATCCCGGAAAACCACATCCTAAAAGACATTTCACACAACTGGACAGGAGTGAGAGAACAGAAATTCTCCAAACAAACCTCCTCACAACAAAAAATCTACAAGATTAACCCAAATCGGAGAATATAAAGGCAGCAATTTGGTCATTGCCTGGAGAATTTAAATAGAAGGCTTCTAAATTCGGCTAAAATAGGCATAAAAAGGACCAAAATGGTTGAAAGTCACAGTTGGGAAAACACAGGTTGGAAATAAAATACAACTACACCTTATCCAGCAAGTGGTAAACCTCTCATCAGTTTAAGTCTTTTGTGTATACTCTTGTTTGGCTACAAGGTAAAGAGCTGAATGATGCTCCCTTATGTAGTGAAGAAATAATTCTGTTCACTATGGGCTTCCAAGTTTTGTCATTCCCTGGTTTAATGAAATGCAAAGATTAATAGATTTCAGGCTCAGAGGAATTCTTCAGCTTCTTGTTTGAGCTGCAACACTTCTCATACCTGTAGACCAATGGAAAAACTAAGGCAACAGGTACCACAAGAAAAAGTTACAGCAGCAAAGGAAATGTTTCCCTTCATGACTCTGGGATTCTTGAAGGCACAAATTTTAGCAGCACATTGTCTGCATCTTCTGAGGGCTCTCAGGAAGAGAAGGCGCGTAAAGGTAAGCCTAGCTACTGGAGGAACTTTAGTCACTTCCTATGAAAGCTGGACAACCAGTTGAGTAGGAGGAATAACCCTCCTTTCTTCCAGCTCTGCACAGCCAGAGGAAGAACAGCTATTCACAGCTTGCACCTCAGCTGCTTTCTACTACTCAAGCTCGTAAGATGACTCCTTTGAAGGAGAAGCACAAAGGGCTGAGTATCACCTTTCTTACTTATTCCATCCTAGTTCCATCAGCACTAGGACTTAACCTGATTCCACCCATTCCAGCATGCCAGAAGAGCCAGTGAAACCTCTGCTCTCAGGAAGGGGAGGAAGGAGTTAAAATCCAAAGTGTCCCAGAACGAAGGTTTCAAATCTGGACCCTGTCAGTTCTCTGTTTATGATGCACATTCCTTCCTGACAAAACACTTTCACACTGCCTTGGCTTCATGTCAGTCTGGAAAAGATTGCTTATGTATGTTTTATATAGTGGATATATACTGGGGAAGCAGAGGTATAAACCACCTAATATTCTACTTCTCAGAGTGTGGGCAGGTGGTGTAACCACAGAGTAACTTCTCACTTCCTCAGACGTCTCCGGGGTTTTATATTTCTCTCTTCACTCCCACTGTGTTAGTACCATGGGGCAGTTTTCTCTTTATTCCTAAGCTTTGGCAAGCTCTCCTCTTCAGTGCAGGGAAGACCTCCCAGAAACAGACTTTCATTTTTGTTTGTAGATCTTGTCTATAACGGTGCCCCCCTCCTCCCCAACTTATAAACTATGTTTTGGGCAAGAAAAGCTGTTCTTATCATGCAGGGTACCGAGACAGGAGGCTCTCGTTTCAAAGCGAGACATCACTGTGATGTAAACCAGTTTCCTCCTAGAGCATTTGGGAACTCTGCTATGAAGGCATCATATTCCAGCCTGTGTGTTTCCCCACCCTCATAGGGACACCTTCTCCCTTGTTCTCAAGTACCTCCCTACTCATGCCTGAGTAAAACAATTAAGTACCCATGAACACCCTATAAAACCAGTAAAACCCCATTCACTGGCTCCTGAAGACAGCTCTAAGCACAGCAGAATATTCTTACAGGAGTTATACAGTCATTTCTGCAGCTAACCAGAGGATTAAAGTAGATGTCTACGTATACACTTTCCAAGCTTCCAACAGTTCACATTTTAAGACCTTAATGTAAAAAGTAAAATTCAAAACCCCAACAAAAAAGCAAGCCTCAAAACCCTCCAGGGGTCAGAGTTGAACCATACTGCTCACACCTAAAGACATTTCATACAGAGCTGAGTATGGATATCATTATGTAAATAATACACGACTGCAGGAAGTACAGGCACAATGGAAGTGATTTAGAAATGCAAGTCAAACAGCATGTTCTTACCATGTAAACTTACTGAAAACACCCCCTTCTACATTACATCTGTCATAATGTCCTGCTTTAGAGAGACAAACTTTACAACACTACAAGGTTTCTGGCCTTATTACATTGTACTTTCAATAAAAAGCACCTCTTTCTGTGGATATTTTGGGCGTTTTGGTTTAGTGCCTATCACACATTTTTATCCTGGACTTATGTGTCAAACTGCAAACATATGATGCATTTCAGTGTTTCCTCTATTGTCCATGGCCATGCCAATGCCTGCATGGAGTACTTTGTCTTGTCTGTAACTGTGGTATTTTATAACAAATGGTACCCTAATTCCGATTCAGTTGTGAATTTCCACTGGAAACAGAGTGTTTCTCTTTCCCATAATCCAGTGATTTGTCCTGTTTTCTTTCAATGGCCTTAAAACATTTCAGGAAGATGTAGTTATTTTGAGAAGTTTTGTTAAATTCTGTTTTCCTCATGCTGAAAAATCACCTGTAAGAAGTTACAAACTGCAGCATGTCAGGCAAAAGGTGAATGTAACATCAAGTTACCAAGTTTATTTTATACTCTGGAAAGGGATCAAAGTATCACAGGGGTTTTTTGGCTTCCTTTTACATTAGGGAAGCCAAAGCTGCTCTCATCTCATTC